AGAAGGGCGGTTCCGCTTTGCCCACAGAACCCCAAGAAGCCGGTCTCACCTGGAACAAAGTGAAGCCCATGTAATACTCGAAGATGATACAGCCGATGCTCCAGACGTCACACGGCTGCGCCCAGCCGAGCTCTGCAACACAGAGAAGCCGTTTCGGTGGCGCTCCAAGAGGCAGGGGGCTTGGTTGGTCGAATACCTGGGGGGACCCCCCTCCCCAAATCCTGCATGGATCTGTAGGTCTATTGTGACACTCTTGGAAGGTATCTTATGCACTTGCTCACCCACACTGGCTAGCTCAGCACTGTCTACTCCGAAAGGCAATGGCTCTCCAAGGTCCTCAACTGTGCTCTCTAAAAAATGAATCCGAACTAAACCAGGGACCTTCTTCATGCAAAGGGGAAAGTGTGCTCCTCCCGAGAGCTACAGCCCCTCCCTAGTTGCGAAAGAAACCAAAGTTTGCTGCTGCTCTCACTAAGAGTTGAAGGAGAACATAAGAATGTAAGAGAGGCCCAGTTGGCCAAAACCCAGGTGCCATCAGGAGGTCCGCCAGCAGGGCCGGAACTCCAGGAGCCCTCCCACTGTTGCCCCCCCCCAAGCACCAAGAAGACAGAGCATCACTGACCCAGACAGAAGAATATAAGAGAAGCCATGTTGGATCAGGCCAATGGCCCATCCAGTCCAACACTCTTGTCTTATACAGTGGCCAAAACCCGTGTGCCAACAGAAGGTCCCCCGGGGGGCCAGAACCCCAGAAGCCCTCCCACGGTTGCCCCCCCAGCACCAAGACGACAGAGCATCACTTGCCCCAGACCGAGAGTTCCTATCTATACCTCGTGGCTAATAGCCACTGATGGACCTCTGCTCCAGATGTTTATCCAATCCCCTCTCGAAGCTGTCTATCCTTGTAGCCGCCGCCACCTCCTACAGCAGTGAATTCCACGTGTTCATTACTCTTTGGGTGAAGGAGGAGGTCTGCCCCCAACTCTGTCAGCCAGGTTCCTTTTAGCTGGAGATGTTGAGGACTGAACTTGGGACCCTTTGGGGGCAAAGCATGCGTTCTCCCACCGAGCGAGCCCCCGCAAGAGACCCTTGAGATGTACATCTCAGTAGCCTACTGAATACTCTGACGGGCAGGAGCCCTTCCAGACCTCCCGTGGCAGAGATCTTCCCCCGCTATCGCCAAGTTCCTTAAGCAGCCAGCTCTTCCCCTGCCCTGATCCTCAAGACACCTGTTCGTTTTTCAAAGCCGGAGATCCCGGGGACTGAGCGGGGGCTGCGGCATGCACAGGTAAGAGACGGGATCCCCACCTAGAATAACCTCCGGCGCCCGGTAGTGCCGCGTGGAGACGATCGTGCTGTGGTGCTCGTGGTCGAAGGTGGCGCTGCCGAAATCGACCACCCGGACGGCCGTGTTCTTGACACATCGCTCGTCTCGCTTCTTGTGGGGAGGGGGGGGGTTGTTGACGGACAAGAGGGAAGAGGTGGTTAGTGGTCTGGGCGGAGAGCGGCCGCTTCAGCCCCGCGGGCTGCAAAGCGCCAGCGTCGCAGGGTGAAGAGGCGTGTCGAGGCACCCGAGTGATGCCGGAGCCATTGGCCACCCCGGTTCCAAAGGCAGGCAGGATTTCCCCAAAAGTAGAGCGAACCCACCTTTTCCAGGTTGTAGGTCATCTCGTAATCCGAGCTGACAAAGAGGATGTTTTCAGGTTTGAGGTCCGTATGCGTGAGCTTGTTTTCATGCAGAACTGTGGGGGGAGGGGAGAAACCCACGGTTTTCAAACTCAGAGTTGAACGCAGGAAGAGATCCACAGAAGCCAATACTGCCTTGCCGACTAGAGGTTTCCAGCCTTTATACGCCAGGCCTCTTTGTAGAACAACTCAGTTCAAATTTCAGGGCAGGCCTCAAGCAGCCCAAGGGATGGCCGGGGGGCACAGATTAGACAGATTCATGGAGGGACGGGTCTATCAAGGGAACCTCCACATTCAAAAGCAGTCAGCGTCTGAATCCCACTGCCAGTAGGCAACATCAGGGGGAAGGCCTCGGCCTCTCTGCCCTGCTGTTGGCCCTCCAGAGGAGCTGGTTGAGGCCACTGTGTGAGACAGGAGGCTGGACTAGATGGACCCTCACTGGTCTGACCCAGCAGGGCTCTTCTGAAGTTCTTATGAGGGGAAGGCCTCGGCCTCTCTGCCCTGCTGTTGGCCCTCCAGAGGAGCTGGTTGAGGCCACCGTGTGAGTCGGGATGCTGGACTAGAGGGACCCTCACTGGTCTGATCCAGCAGGGCCCTTCTGATGTTCTTATGAGGAGAAGGCCTCAGCCCCTGTGACCTGTTGTTGGCCCTCCAGAGGAACTGGTTGAGGTCACTGTGTGAGACGGGATGCTGGACTAGAGGGACCCTCACTGGTCTGATCCAGCAGGGCTCTTCTGATGTTCTTATGAGGGAAAGGCCTCGACCTCTCTGCCCTGCTGTTGGCCCTCCAGAGGAACTGGTTGAGGCCACTGTGTGAGACAGGACGCTGGACTATATGGACCCCCTCTGGTCTGATCCAGTAGGCCACTTCTGATGTTCTTATGAGGGAAGGCCTCGGCCTCTCTGCCCTGTTGTTGGCCCTCCAGAGGAACTGGTTGAGGCCACTGTGTGAGACAGGAGGCTGGACTAGAGGGACCCTCACTGGTCTGATCCAGCAGGGCTCTTCTGATGTCCTTATGAGGGGAAGGCCTCAGCTTCTATACACTGTCTGTTGGCCCTCCAGAGGAAGTCGGTGGCCACGGTGTGAGACGGAATGCTGGACTACATGGGCCACTGATCAGATCCATCAGGGCTCTTCTGATGTTCCTACCTGGCCTCAGTTGAACACGTGAAGCGGCCTTATTCTGAAAAAGGCTAGCAATCTATCCGGCCCAGTATTATCTACTCAAGTGCGGGATACTTAAGGCAATCAACTTTTTTTTAAAAAAAAAACCTTTAAAAAATCTTTTTGATTGACTGACAGGTCAGCTATCGGTAACATACTGGGCTGAAACATTCAGATCCGTTCAAATAAGGGTGACACTTCCCCCTGGTGCACGGAGCTCCCTTTCAAGTCTGGTGGGA